AAAGAGATGTATAACTGTAGAATAAGGCTTTACATATATACCACAATTAATAGGTAATTGTTCAAGCCTACTTAGCACTCTTTGTATACACAGGCCTCCAAAAGAAACAAATGCCATAAGATACATTATGACGAGGATGGCAGTGCACTGAAGTCAAGACTATCCTACTAAATAATTAGAAAATTAATGAAAGTACCAACAACCAATCGGTTGAGTTCTGACCATAAATGCTAGTGGGGTCTTACGAATGAGTGAAAGAGTTGAATTTTCTGGTACTGGGAGCCCTTGAGTAATGAATGAATGAGTTCTGCTTGGATAACAAGGAAAGAAAACAAATACAAGAAGAAAAAAAAAAGAAGCACCAGGGAATCTCACCCTCAAATGTATATTTGAATCTCTTTAAAGAATTGTCTCATTACATGCCAAAGAGTTATGAATAATGACAATCAGTCTCCCAGTTTGCTTCTGGCTCTGCCTTCTAGAATAAAAAGAAGCAGGGCTCAGTGGTGCTGCCCAGCCCTGCGGACTTCATGGCCTCCGTTCAGGCCGCCAGGATGGTACAGCGCCTCCCGCTCCAGGTTCCTCTCAGCCCCACCTCACGCACAGTGCCAGGAGAGACGGCAGCAGGGCCGTGACCCAGTCCTTTTCCCCTTCCTATCTCCCTTCTCCTGCCTCTTGGAGAAGGAGTTAACGGTTTAGAACCCAAGGGGCCTTTCAAGTAATAGAAGGGTTCAACTCCGGACCACCAAGTCAGTGAGACACACAAAATACAATCATCTGTGTGTTCCCCCTTTCTTGCTAAGATTGTCACTGCCCCTCAAAGTCTGTAACATTGCCACCTTGGGAGATTAAGGAGACAATGGTAGAGGATGGGCTAGGCGGATAAGAAGAGTAAGAATAGTATTCGCTTTAGTGTAGAAAGATTCCTGCTGTGTTGCTAACTTTTGTTGACTATGCTACTCAAGAGGAACTGTAACTATGTTTCCACCTTACTTCATCATGTTCTCAGCCTTCTAAGGAGGATCTCCTAGGAGCTGCTGATGATGTGGGATATGAGAACATCCCGAAGTTCTGTAATGTTCATAGGGAGAGAAGTGAGAAATTAGACGTGTGGATTAATCCAATTTCTCAGCGATTAAGGAGCTTTAGTTGCAGAGCTGAAGGCCTGCGTGTGAAAGTGCCACCTCCCAGAAGCAGATAACCTTCTGAGGGACAATCTTCCAGAGCTCCGAGGTGCCCCAGGGGGAGATGTCAGGACCATTTCAGGGGCAGGGCGCCTGTGAGGGTGACAGGGAGCAGCGCTGCACAGAAAATCTGGCCCAAGATACTTTGAGCAAATGTCAGCCGCAGCTGTTAGGGATGGCGGTGGGTGTGGAGCCTTGTGCCAGAAAATGCCACCAACATGAGATTTGGAGTTACACAACTCTGCTTTGATTCGCAGCTTTGCCAATCACTGCTCGGAACTGACTAACAACTGTCGATGTGAATGCTTTTTTGGAGAAACGGGAAAATAGATAATAGAATATCTCCTTTCAGTCTTCCCAGAAGTTTTTAAACCCTCAAATGAAACAATGAGCTTAAATGTGCTCTGTAAACTGTGAAATCTTAGAAATTGTGCTTGCTTTGCCCTCCACCACACATCTGGCCCACACTGCCTTGGCTGCTTCTCCAGGAGCAGTTCTGTTGCTTCCTTCCTGGAAGGCTGCCACTGCCCACGGCCCCAGGAATTTCTCCATGAAATGACTGATTAAAAGTGCCCAGTGACTTGCTCAGCAGATTGCATGCAGCATTGCATTTGGAAGGCATGAAAATGAAATCATGTTTTCTGATTCCTGAAAGGGTCTCCCGCTATGATTTGCCTAAGACTCTAGCGCAGCGGATGGGTGTAGACAGGGCCAGCCTAATGTCCAGAGCCAGTGGGCATGGTCACGTGGGTCAGCCATGGAGTAAGCTATGGCCAGCACAGGAAGGGGGCCTCACTGTGACCTGCTGACTGTGTTTATAGTTTCCAAAGGTGTGTGATTCCAGCCTGTGAAATGAGACACATTCTGGAGTAATCACCATAAAGCAAAGAAAGAAATTTAAATTCTCAAAAATACACTATAAAGTTCATCAAATAATTTAATGTATCACACAGTACAGGGTTCCAGCCCCTTTAGTGAGTGGAGAGCTGATAACCTGCTCTGAGAGAAAGGAAAAGGATCGGGAAGTGGAGACAGCTTTGTCTTGTGACTGACACGCAGCTGTTCCCCCAGAGTAAAAGGACATTTCCTTCTGTATAAGATTAGCAGTGGAAGCAAATGTCTCAAGTTTGGCCTAAGCCTCATGGATACTTTCAAATCAGTGGCTGCTGTGATGTTTTCCCTTACAGCACAGAAAGAACATCCCAGGAGATCAAAGCTTTCGACTTCTGACTCTCTAGGTTTCAAGGACGGGAGTGGCCTTTCAAAGACGACAGTGTTCTGTTCAGCAGCTGGAATAAGCAGTCTGCTCTCGGTATAGCTAACCAGCCCACTGACAATGTGGAAAATGGCCATGTGGTTCTCTTGATGAACAAATTCCTCTTTCTTAAATCATGTCAGTCAGAGGCCAAGAGTTCTACTGACGTGTACAAGGATGTCCACCAAGTGAGAGTGGAGAAAGGAAGGCCACAGAGTGCGGAAAGCCTCTAACCCTAACATTCACTCTCAAACTGGGTCCAGGACAGATCAACTGGTTTTTATATTATGAACTTTATTGGCACATTTTAGGTGTACAATATAATGAAATTCATCATTGGGAATTTGCACCTTTACATAGTCTCTCTTGGTTCTTTTCCCCCTTCCTCTGCCCTCCCTTCAACCCCACCATCCCTATTTACAAAAATTTGGTTCATATTTTTCCATTTTCTCATATTAATCCCATTCCCTTCTATCCTTTCCCCTAGCCCTCCCACTTCCTTCCCCTTTGCCCCCTTTATTCCTATTTCACATTATCTATTATACCTTTTAGTCCTTATTTACACTTTCAGTTTCTCACACCAGAGAAACTATTTGATATTTACAGATGTGTGTCCTATTTATTTTACTTAAGAGTATCACCTCAATGTGCATCCATTTACTTGTAAATATCTCTAATTTCTCATCCTTTATGGCTGAGTAGTACTCCATTTTATAGAAAAACCACATTTTCTTTATCCAGTCTCCAGCTGATGGGCAAATGGGCTGCTTCCAAGTTTTAGCTATCACAAACTGTGCTGCTATAAACATGGGCGCACACATATCACTGTGTATGATTCTTTTAATTCTTTGGCGAAGATCCCCAGCAGGGGAATAGCGGGGTCAAATGGGACTTCCAGTCCTAGTTCTTTGAGGTATCTCCATACTGATTTCCACAGTGGTTGCACCAGTCCGCACTCCCACCAGCAGTGGAGCAGGGTTCCTCTTTCCCCACAGCCCCGCCAGCATTTGTTATTGGTTGATTTCATGATACCAGCCATTCTTTCTGGGGTGAGGTGGAATCTCAGTGATGTTTTCATTAGCATCTCTCAAATGACCAGTGATGCTGAACATTTTTCATATGTTTATTTGCTATTTCTACTTCTTTGTCTGAGATATGTCTGCTCAGCTCAACTTTCATTCCATTGCTAAGTTATGGCTCCAAGCAAAGATTTCTGTAAAAAGGATTCCACTCCAAGCTGGACAAGATGTTTTTTGTGGATGCTAATGATGTCTGACAGTTTTCCAGGAGCATCCATTGTACTTCCTCTTTCCTCTGTGTATAGATCAAGTACAGGAGGGTCTTGGCAGAGCAAAAGAGCAAGGAGGTGGGAGACTGGAGCTTTGTTCCTATCTCTGCTCCCAGCTTTCATGTGGCTGGGAGCGAATCCCTTGCCCCTCTCCAGCCTGGTTCCCACAATGCTCTCTAGTGCCCCTCTTCCCAGATGTGGGACTGCAGCATAGACTAGACTGACTTGGGGTTATATGTCATTCCTAGTACACACCCTCAAACTCTGAGACTCTGAACAGTTATAAACTGCTGGTTGTCCCTCCTGGTACTCAGAATCTGAGATGCTGCACAATAGCAAAGGATTTTAAAGCTCTTTTTTTGTTAGTAGTAAACGTTTTAAATGCCATACTACATGGAAGCCCATTCATCCAGTACAAGAAGGTCAAGCCACTGTATGTGAAGGGAGATTACAGGATTCACAGTTGTTGCTGCTCTCTCTTCCCTCTTGATCCTCTCATTTTTTGTGGGGAAATTGGGTGCCATTGTTTGAGTGTGGCCTGAGGGCCCATAGGAAAAGCTTGATCCTAAGGGTAGTGGTGCTGTGGATGCCTTGGAGGGAGAGCTTAGTGGGAGAGAGTTTCTTAGGTCACTGGGCATTCCCTTCAAGGGCCATCTTCACACTTCCTCTGCTCAGGTTCAAGGTGTAAATCCTTTTACACCGGTACTGTACCTTACTTCACAAACTTAATTCATTCCATGACTCTGGAAAAGATGGCCACATTCCTGTCCGAGCGGGAAAGTTGGCTGTGGTTGTGTTTGTTACCCGATGCAGAGTTCACAAAGAAAAGCAACATTTTGCCCAGTGCTTCTGTTTGCAAACCAAACTGTTCACAACCAAAAACATCTGCGAACAGAGGAACCACTATACTTTTAACATATTTGTGTTTGATGTGAAGTGTGTCTTGTAGATAACATGTAGTGGCGTCATGGTTACTTCTCATCCATTTTCTTTATCTCTACCTCTTAATTTGAGAATTATAGACTTACTGAAAGGCAGCATTTACATCTTTCATTTCGCCATTCATTTTCAAGTTGTCTTTTTTATTCTGTTTTTCCCCATCACCATTTTTTTAAAAGTTCAATGGGTATTTTCTAGTGGACATTTCAATTCCCCTTTTTTACTTTACTATATTTTAATAGCTATTATCTCATTGTTTGCCTGATTACAGCTATCATCTTGTAGTTTAAATTTATTAAATTTAGTTTCAATAGTATATAAATATTGGGTCCTATGTAGTCCATTTCACTCCTCCTCCTCTGGGTTTTTGATTGTCATACAGTGACTACCTATCATGTGGGAATCAACACAGACTTATACCTGCTGTTTTATGCATTTTTCTTCTCAATCCGATAGGTAAAAGACATAATATAGAGACTGTCTTTTATATTTACCTACGTAGTTACTCTTAACAGTTCTCTTTATCTATATGCGGTTTAGAGTTATTTTCTAGAGTCCTTTTCCTTCAGCTTAAAGGAAATCTTTGGTATTTCTTAAAATATAGATCTGCTTAGTGATAACTTCTCTTGGTTTTTGTTCACTGGGAATATTTACGCTCATTTTTGAAGGGTAATTTAGCTAAATACAGAGTTACTATTTGACAGTCCTTTTCTTGCAGCACTTGGAATGTCATCCTCTGTCTTCCTCTGTGTTTGCTGATGACAAATCACCTGTTACTCTTCTTGAACCCCCACCACTTGTACAGGGTCAGTTTTTTCTCTTTGGATCCCTTTGACTTTCAACCACTCATTCATTGTATGTCAGAGCATCTACCTATGAGTCGGTGCTACTTGGTGCTCGTTGAATGTGTCAGCCATTATTCTTGAAATATTCTCTTTCCTATCCTTTCCCTTCTCTTTTCCACTCCCCTGTACCCCTTCCCTCTGCCTGTCTCAGTCTCTCTGATGTGTGTACACGGGTGGGATTTCCATTACATGTATTTTAGTATGCTTGGCAGATCTCTAACATCATTTTTCTCTCCATTCCCTCTCTGTTTCTTAGATAAGTTAACCTTTTGTTTTGAGATCGGGCCTTATGATGTTGCTCAGGCTGCTTCCAGAATTCTGGGCTCCAGTGAGCCCCCTGCCCCACATACCCAGGTAGCTAGGACTACCAGGTACATGCAGCTGTCGGAAGGGATGACTTGATCGATTTATCTTCATATTCACTTAGTCTGTCTTTGCCTGCTCATATCTAAAGTCCCTGTAGTGATTTTTAAAATTTCAGTTAGTTTTTACTTCCAGAATTTCTATTTGTGTGTGTGTGTGTATGTATGTAGGTACTAAGATACTGTTCTACTATTTTCCTTTATGTTCATTAATTTTTAAATGTAAGTAGCAGCTTTAAAGTCTTTGTCTAGTGATCGATCAATATTTGGGGTTCCTCAGGGATGATTTTGTTGAATGCCTTTTCCATGGCTCAAACATTTTTTGTTCAGAACTGGATATTTAAAATCATATGTCACCTCTGGAAATGAGATTCTTTCTCCTTTCTCTGGGTTTAAGTGACTTTTATGAGCTATTTCTCTGTTGTGGAACCACTGAAATCTCTAACAGAGGAATGAAGATATCCTTAAATACCTAGAGCCACCAAGCCTTCTGGGCATTGCCAAGGAGCTTCACGTGTGTATTGGACACACTGTAATTGGCAGCTCCCAACTGACACCACCTCTGCTCCCAGAGAGCCGGAAACAGGGAGGGGTTTCCTGTACCTGAGCCTGCAAGTGGCCCTATGTGCAGCTGGGTTACCTTCTGGAGGCCAATAATATGTCAGTGCTTTTCGAACCCCCCTTATCCCCCTTATAAAATCTCATTTCCAAGATTTCTTTTTTAAAATTTCAGATATTATAATTTTTAATTCCAGAATTTCTATTTTTTATTTGTCTCAATATGCACTGCCTCAGACAGAAAATATAGACAGGAACCACCACACCGGTCAATAATAACTCCCAACAATGAAACTGTGAAGGACTCCAGTCCCATTCTGCTCCCCAGCCTAGTGTTTTTTGCCATGATTGCAGATGGTTGTTTTCCAGTTATTGTGTTGCTAGAGAGAGGAGGGTGTGTGAATCAACAAGGTGAAATGCCATACTGCTTAGTATTCATATCGAGATTCAGCTGCCTTTGTAAATAATCATTCCTAGGATTTCTGTAAGCCTTCAGCTAATTTCCACAGTTCTGAAAATGTTGATTCTGACCATTTATCCCAATATTCTTGTTCTTTTCATGGAGGAGAGGACTTTCAGCCGTCTTTTTGCTGTCCTTTTCGTTGATGACTTCAGCGTGTCCTGTGGTACCAGTGAAGCAAGGTACAATCTTTATTACTAACAGGAAGAATGTCTCATCACCTGGATCTACAGAATGTGGGAGTCAGCTCCATAAATAGAAGAAGCTGGAGAGATAGGGGATCATGGTTTGGAAATGAAATGCATGACAATGAGCATGCAGGAGTTGTGGTTATTGCATATGATAAGATCTAGGGAATGAGTAGGAGAAAAAAGATTGGAGAAGGATAAGTTTTAGAATTATTAAAAGGTTTATTTAGAATTAAAAGGTCAGCATGGTGGAAAATCTCTTTGCCTAAATTTTGACTTCACTAAAAATTATTCCAGAAGGAAGAGTTTAAAAGGGAAACAGAGTGAACCAAAATCTTTAAGGAATGCGTAGTGATACAGGGGTCATCTGACAGCTGTACTGAGGAGGAAGTAGTATGTCTGTGAGCTCATTAATATGTGATTCAACTGGAGTTTCAGAACATAAAGACAGAAGTCTGGAAGGCACAATGAATAAAAAGGACACTTACCACCTCAAGCCAGATAGGTGCGTGTGGGGGAGGAGGAAGAGCAATATCCTCAGGGGACATCCCAGATTCTGTTACCAGAGGAAGGTGATGAGCACTTCCTGAAGACGCTGAAGGTGTAGAACATTTGTGCACAGTGAGATAGATGCAGGATGCTGCAGAGCAGGTGGAGTCGGCAACAGTGAAACACTGAGTTTTGCTAGGTGTTAGTGTCTGGAAGATGACAGCTTCCCAAGGAATCCCAGTGGGGTTCCTGCCAGTCCTGTATGTATTTCCTAGGGCTGGGAGTGATGGTGCTTTCCCAGAACCATGAAGGGCTCTAGAGCTTGGGCTTGACTCTTACTGAAGGCTGCGATCCAGGGGAGGTAGCTCTGTTACAAATGAGCAGCTCTGACCTAAGATGATAGAGGCACCCAGCCTCCCTTTGCCTGTCAGGTTCTATTCTGGTCACTGGTTTAGTACAAAGCTTATAAACTTTATTAACCACCACCTGGCAACTTTTTCTCTGAAATGGCCGGAGAGTAAATATTTTTATGTTCATTATCTGCATATAAGACCTAATCTCTTCAATTAAATATCAAACTTCTGCAGATCAGAGGGTAGCTTTCTAAGCAATTTCTTACTCATTTACGCCTCACCATTTGCTCCAAGAGGTCCCAATCCCTTCTCTTGTTATAATATACACAGCACATGCTGTTCCAAGGAGGAATAGATCCCCCTCTGTACACCAGACTGTGAGGAAACCTCAAAAACTGCTGCAACTATGATCATGTCCTGTAAGTGTTCCAGTGCTTAGTCATACACCAGTAATTATTCTGTTAAGGATCTTTGTATTTGAAATGCAGTTTATTAGATGTGATTCTTAAATTCCTAGATGTCACTTCAACTTTTTTGTATCCCTGCTTAAAAAGCATATTACTATGGGATGTGTGGCATAATTTCAGTGTTAATCTTGTATCCGCTCTAATACTTAAATAAGTTTCAAATGACAGTACTTTACCAAGAGCGAGGTTGTTAAGACCATCTTAACACTGACAGCATCATTGAGGTAGCCTCACTCTGACAACTGGAAAACTGGGAGCGCACATCCAACTGCCTACAGGTAAGGAGGTCCGGTTAAGACCAGATCTGAGTGTTTTTAGAAAGGTAAATCCTTTAGGCAATGAATTAAATATATTCCTTTTTACTGTAGGAGTCACTAAGAAAAACCCTTTTCTTCTATTACAGTAGCTATGTAAGTTCATCCAGTTTGTATTATGGCTTCATTTAATAGCTTTATGATGTTGGTCAAATTAATTAATTTCTCTGTCCTCAATTGCCAGATCTTTAAATATATGTAAAGCTCTTAAAACAGTGCCTAACACTTGACAAGTGCTTAACAAATATTTGTTCCTGATATAAAATACTATGTTTTGTGATATAGATGCTATCTCCTTTCATGTAATGTCACCAAGATGTATTTCTACAGCATACTAGACATTTAGTCTGCTTTATTTAAAAATGGAATGGATTCACAGTCTTCTACAATGTCTAAGCTCTCCTGTTAAATATAAATGCTATCATTACCTTCTTCATCATTATCATTTTTATTAATGCCATTTATACAATGCTATCCTAAACCCCATGACAGGCACTAAGTCCTGTACTTTATATGTGTTAATTTACTAAATCCTTAACACAACACTCTTAGTTAAGTAATACTATTACTACCATTTTGCAGGTGAGGGGAAAAAAATGAGGTACAAAAAGGTTTAGATTATTATTCAAAGTGCTAGTAAATTCCAGAGATGGAAGCCATATCCAAGTCTTCTGCCTTCAGGAATGTGCACATAATCTATGCACACTACTGCATCTCACAAGTAAATGTAAACATCCTAACTGATGGAGTTACAACTGCAGTCCCTAATACCAATCCAGGGCAGAACATCAACCTACTTGAATATTGAACTTGTGATTATGATGTCATCTCCACAACTCTTTGGGCAATGACTATTAAGATTCACTCATTCATTGGTTTATTCATTCATTTGAGAACCAGTCTCTTTAGCCAAAGTACTCAGCACTACATAAGTCCCATGATGCATCAGTAAAGAAAACAGTCCTCTTTCCAAGGAATATGTATCCTAGTGGAGGGAGCAGATTTTAAACAAAATACACAATAAAATTTTAGAGTATGTTAAAGGACAATATACGATGTGGAGCAAACAGTGTACAGAAGGAGACTGAGTAGCGCATGAATATGTGAGGGATGGTTGAATTGTAAATGAAGTAGTTAGGCAAAGAGACATATGTGGAGAAATCTGGAGGAAATGGGAGTAAACAATATGTGTATGTGGACAATGAGGATTCCAAGCAGAGAGAACAGCCAAAAGGCCTAGCGAGAGGGCTGCTGTGTCCCAAACAGAGTGGGTGAGAGGTAAGTTCAGAGTTGTGGAGGAAAATGGTACACATCATGGAGGGCTTTATCCATCTTCATAAGGAGTTTGTGTTTCTGAGTTAGATGGACAGTCGCTACAGTGTTTTAAACAGAGCTGTTGACATCATTTGATTGGCAAATTTAAAGTATCACTGATATTTTGAACCTAGGATGTAAAAAACGAGCATAGAAGCAGACTGGCCTGTAGGAGGCAACTGTAACAACCCGGGCAAGATATGATGCTGACAGGGATTAGGCCGGGATCAGGAGAGGTGGTGCATAGTAGCAAGTGTCTAGCTATATGCTGAAAATGGAGCCGATATGATTTTTTGGAAGATTAGATGTCAAATATGGGAGAAACAGGAGAACCAAAAATGACTTTATGGATTTGTCTTAACCAAGTGAAAGGACAGAGTTGCCATCAACTGAGATGTGGACAATTATAGACGGGTCAGATATGGCCGAGAAGGGAAGGGTATACTAGATCCGTTTGATGTATGTGTCTGATAAAACTATTGGCAGTCCAAAGAAATACGTTAATGTCATAAAAAATGAGTGCAGATAGAAAAGAGAAATAGAGAAGTAAACTGTGTATTGCTTCATCAGAAAGAAGATGTCAAGAAGACAATAAACCATACAGGGATAATGTGACAAAGTGGACAATGAAGAAGGGTTATTTATATCAGCCAAGGGTAGGCAATATTTCAAGAGAAAGGGAGTATCTATATCATCTGCTATGCTGCACTGCAGAAAGTGATTGTGAGAAGAATAACATTCAAGATGGTGGGTGAGAACCTAATCAGGGTGGGTCCTGCAGAGAATCAGAGGGCAGCAGGGAGAAGGACTGGAGACAGTGAGAGGTTCTTCAAGATGAGTGAAACAGCAGCATTGTCCCTGCTAAGGGAAAATACCTAACAGACAAAAGGAAATGAATGTTTCAGGACAGATGGGAAGAACTACTGGACTTGCATGCTTCTTAGGCAAGAGGGAAGGGTCTCAGGTACTGGAGAAGGGGCAGGTCTTGGATAAAACTGCAGAAGTTTCCTATCAAGAAAGGAGATCTGAGCTAAGACTCAAGGTTGACTCTCAGCCTGCTGCACATCTGTGGGTGAGTTATTCAACCTCTCTAAACTTCCGGGGTCCTTGAAAAGAACTTGCTATAGTACCTAACACAGGATGAAGGCTCAATTAGCTGCTGCTGTTGTTCAAAGACAAAACAGTTTAACAGTTTTGCTAACAACATAAAAGAAACTTTCAGCCCATATCCTGAATTCATTGTCTACAGCATGTTTTTCTAAAATTTGAGTTAATCCCCCATCCTCTGCCGTGTTTTCAAACAGGGCACACAGATCTGTGTATTTTGCACACACTTTGCCTGGAACATGGGATGGGACAGTCATGAAGGTAATTATCCTGGAAAACTAAGATGCATGAAAAGATAAACTGCTTAGTGGATTACAAATGTATATTTCATATAACCCAATGGCATAAACATCATAGTTATGCTCGTTGCGTGTCTCATAACCCTCTCCAAGATATCTACTGCCTTTGCGCTTTTCTGTTGTCATCTTCTTTTCTCCAACGGTGGTGACAGAGACACAAAAATTATGTCCTCTGGCATCACTGTTCCTGGTCTCCAGGAGATGAGCAAAAATGACATCGCCTCTCACTGAGACACAGGGATTGTGACAATTTAATAGACTGGAAAAATAATTGAAAGAGAAAACCAACAATTCTTCCCTCCCTCTAGGGAAGAGGAGGGGCCTTCATCAAGGGCTCAGATGCACGGGAGCAGTTGGCTTGGCTGTGTTACTACAGGGGCTTTCTACTGGCAGCCTTCAGAGACCAGTGCTAACGGAAGAGCTGAGTCGGGGCATGAGTAAGTCACGGCCATTTGTACCATTGCAGCAGGCTCTGGCTCCTCCTGGCAGTGTCACAGTCAGCTTGGGAAACAGTGCGTCAGGCAAGTGGTCTGTCTGATGGGTGGACACAGTAGGAGAATATGGACTTAAGTGAGGCAAGAGACTTCACAGAAAGAGAGACGCATGGACCTGACCAAGAGAGGCACAGCAGATACTGTGTCCCCAGACATCATTAGTAAGACACCATGCATTCCTCATTTCTAAAGCGTGTACTCTTTCACTTTCTTAAAGGCTAAAAGTGGACATGAGATGGGACACAAACTACCTTTCAGTTCTAGGATTCTACAGTCTCCAGCTTTGACAACTGCATGAAGCCCAGCCCGGCCTTGTCCATCTCTGTCCCCAGCCCAGTGCGACGGTTTGGAACACCTGAAGGCTAGTGCTCAGAATTGCTTATTTTTAACTCTTATTTGAGTTGGTTATATTGCCCTGCCTTCTTGCTTCCTATTTCATTTCAGTTGCTATAGTGATCGATCAGCAGTTAATAAGCTTTGTAGACCGGAAGATTCCATGACTCTGGGCTCCATCAGTGTAGAATGTCTCTGTCCCCTGCATTCCAAAAAGAACCTTGCACGTGTCAGGCACTGAATGACGACTGTCTGAGTTCTATAAATGTTGTAGCGGGAGAAGGATGTATGAATGAGAGGGAGGAATTCAGAGAAGTCTTCTTAGGGAAGAGCATGTCCTCAGCCTGGTTCAACATGCTTGCGTTCCACACGTGTGTTACCCATCGTAAGGCTTTGCTTTCCACCATGTCTCCTCATGATGGCAGTCGTGTTTTCTGAGAACCACTGGTTGGACACTTGCCTGTGATCCTCACTGGGCTCCGTGAAAGGGATATTTACCCCCATGTGGCACAGAGAAGAGAACACCTGAGATCAGTGCCAATCTGAAAGCTGACTGACCAGTGAGGACAAGAGACCTTGGGCTGAGCTGCAGGCAAGCCAACTCCAAGGCAGGCACAGCTGCCATCTGGAAAAGAGAAGTGGAGGGGTTTTTTATTTCTACAAGGAAAAGTTGAAGAGTCTTTAATGTAAAAAGTCTACAGAAACTGAGGGAGACTTTATAACTTAGTGAATTCTTCCAAGAAAATATTTACAGAAGGTCTGAGTAGTTGGTAGTAATATCAGTGAAAGGGTATTTGAGTCAAGGAAGTGATGAGTTAAGATCTTTCAGATACTGCAATGTGAAAAGATCAAGTCTTCAAAACACATGCAAATAAATCTGTAGGATAGTAAATTACCAGGAGAATTATAATCAGAGCTATTATTTATTAATTTCTGAAAACACATGAGGCATAATAGGAAGTCCTGAACATTAACTAACATCATTTTTATAACAACTTTATGAGGGAGGTACTGTCCTTATACTCATTTTAAAGATAAGGAAAATGAGTTCAGGTAGCTCCCTCAAGGCATCTGTCAAGTCCCTCTTGAAGCTGGGATTCAAACCGAGGCACTCTGGCTCCAGGGTCTGCACTATTAATCATGAAACATATTGCCTCCTCCTCTGAAAGAAAATAATTAGTTCCTAAGAGTACCAAAGCTCTTACTTTTAAATTGGAAAGATCAAAAGGCCTCTCTGTGAGGAGGTATTTTGGATAGGACTTGCAGAGTAGGAACTAGAGAGGCCTCTACATCCACTATACAACTACCAGAAAAGGAAACATCTTGGGACACTGAGTGAGTGGTGGTCTCACCAAAAGCCAGAGCAGGTAGCTGTAGTGAGAGGAAACTGAAAGGAAAGGAATGCGATGCACAATCAGGACAGAGCTCTGGGCCGGGGTCAGGTGGAGGAGGGTGATAACCAAAGTGCAGTGAGAAGGTCTATGACAGATGTGTCGCAATTGTGTCCTGCAGGCTTCATGGGGCCCTGGACAGCTGGTGATGTGACCCCCTCTCAATGTAATGTTTTAACACTATGATGTGATTTCCAGGACATTTTTCAGGACTCCCTTGCAGAGGCTGAGAGGGTGGAGCTATAGAGAATGCACTGCAGCGCTGACTCTGCCTCCCAGGCATGCCACCATATGCAGTCAGTTGAAATGAAACCCGCGTGTGTCAGACATCACAGAGGCCTGTGTGAACTGGTGAGGAAAACACAGTGACTACTGCATGTAGTATTTCAACCTACCTATATACTTCTGTACAGTACCTGTAGTACATGTTTTATGTGTGGCACGAGACAATTCCTATTCACTCAGTGCTGCCCAGCAAACCAAAAGATTAGACACCTGTGTTCTACGAGATAGAAAGGATGAATATCATTACCCCATGTTACCAATGAATGAGCGAGCTAGCTGAAGATAATCCATTTCTCCGGGTCTTTTCAGAAGGCTCTTGTGAGAGTTGATGAAAGATGAAGAAAGTAACCTTTACTACCAGCAGCCACTGAAGTTGGAAGTGGGGTGCTACTGTGACATAACCAAGGCAAAGCTGAGTGGTATTACACGTAGGAGTTACAGGAGGACTCTGCAAATGGATTGGAAAGACTGCTGTAGGCTGAAAACGAATGACATTTGCGAAGATGCTGAAGAGGCAAATAGTATGGTAGGTTGGAGACCTCAAAGGCTGATGTGACCAGACCAAGAAGAAAGAATAACCCTAGAGGGAAGTGAAGAAGTAAGATAAGGCCACATCACAGAGGGCCTTGTAGCATTTTAAAATTTTTAGATTTAATCTTCAATGCGTTATGAAAGCCAAGGGTCAATAAGAAACTCTCTGTGAAAGTGATAGTTTTACTTAAAAATCAGTAAAGCAATCACAGATATATTTTTTGTTAAAAACAGAAAATATTTAAAACCTGGAACATTGAAAGTTACAGTCATCCTATCTCTCCACATCTAAGTTCCACATCACATCTTTCTTAAGTAAAAAGCTATTCCCCTAAGTAGTCATAACATTATTATGACAGCTTACAAAATTCTTAAAAAGTGAGATAGTGTTTCAAATTTTAAAATAGTTATATGTGAATACATTTTCTCCAAAAAAGCTATTCTTACAGAAAAGACAGCTGCAAATATAACAAAGATTTATTTAAAACCCTGTGTTTAATAAGCAATAGTTTGATTTAACCCTAGCTTACTGGGACTCTGAGTTTCCACCCAAATCAGGTAATTTTAGGACTCTAATGTTTTTGTTTTTTTTTTTGGTACCTGGGTACCGGGGATCAAAATCGGTTCCTTCAGTTTGCAAAGCAGGCGGTGGAACCACTGAGCTAAATCCCAAGCCCAGGACTCTAATTCTTGCTGGAATGTTTTACTCTAGAGAGAGGGGACTGAAAGTGACATTTTTAGTGTCCATTTTAACTCTGTCCCATTGGGAAAGCTTAAGGATTTGCCCTTGTTTCCAGTGGCAACAAAGGAGTCAAGTTGCCATTTCTCTTGCTCATCCATTTTAATAGACCACAGCAAGTAGCACTCCATCAACCTGTTTTATCTCTGTCAACCTTCCAGAGGTCTTCAGTTGGCATGGTTAATGTCCAGATATCCATCTTACTGATGTAAAAAGTGGCTAAACCTAGACATAATTTAGGGTCCTGGCCCTAGTCATGAGACCCCATTTAAAGCCAGCATTGTATCCATAGGCCCAGTGGGAATACTGCATATGATAGTTTAATACAGCTGCTGTCTTAGAGCAATTTATTTTCAGATATTTGTATCGATGCTTTCCCTTTCTACTCTCTGAAATGCTGTGGTGACATATGTTTACATGAGGCCTGAGAAAGTCCCAGAACACAGGAGAAAGAAGGATAAGAAATCAACCATTATTCTATTACCTACCAGGTTTAATAAATGTCAGTCCAAGATAATAATTCAATAAATGCATATGCATTTAAAATTCACATTTGACTTAGAAGTTCACCTTTTATCCTGCAGTCCAGGGAATATACTCAAAGCAATTTCATCAGGAATTCTAGACCCTCCACTGTCTGTTCTCACCTCCTCTCTGTCATGTAGCTCCTCTGGTATGCAGATGGATATTTCCAATGCCTCGTGGGCCAACACCTGACACTTACATCAGAAACTGTTAATTCGACAATTCCTCTATGCATTCCACTACAGCATCAAACCATGATGTGGTTTTGACTGCTATAATTATCCCTGTCTCTTCCTCGAATTCAGAAATGGGGAAGAACACAGGATCCAAAATACTAGCATTATTTTTGGTGAAGTTTTAGTAGAAGAATGAATCCTGGGACCAATTCCAAATTGAGATTACGAACCGCCTCATACATCCCAAATTCCATCTAACTGCCATTTTCTTTTTCTTGTCTCAAGAAATAAAATTTTTTTTTGAAGTGAGAAAATACTGGCAGGAAAAAAGGATAGAAACAAATCACTTAAGTTCTTGTTTTAAAAGTTAGCAGTCTTGCATGAAAATACAGAAAACTGTCCTGGGAGATAGTTTCATTGAATTTAGAACCTGCTCCAAACTGGACCCAAGTCACCCTCTCTCCCCGTGGCCGGTGCCATCCTTCATGCAGACGTGGGGACTGGGAGCTGAGAGTCAGCTCCACAATCCAGTGAGTTGCTGAACCTTAGAGATTGTTACTTCTGAAATTGTCTTTGTGACCTTTTACTCTTTGTGACCTTTTACTCTTTGTGACCTCCCTTGCTGCAAAAGCACTTGCAGTTCTTATCCCCTCCTATCTGACCAACTGTGAAAAGTAGTTTAAAGCTGAGCCAGGAATCATGAATTCTGACCGGCTCTGTCATTTAGTTGGCTGACTTGATCTTAGGAAACATATACCATCCCAGTCATAGTCTCCTTGCAAAATGGAGATAACAGTAGTACTTTTATAAGTCACCAGTGAACATTAAATGAGATCATGCAAATACAGTCAATACAGTCTCTAGCGGAAATGAACAGACCCTTCTCAGACAGAGAAGTAAAAGCAGCAAATAAATATATGAAAAAATGTTCAACATCACTGGTCATTCAAGAGATGCAGATGAAAACAACACTGAGATTCCACCTCACCCCAGAAAGAATGGCTGCTATCATGAAATCAACCAATAACAAATGCTGGCAGGGCTGTGGAAAAGAGGACACTGCTCCACTGCTGGTGGGAGTGCAGACTGGTGCAACCACTGTGGAAATCAATATGGAGATGCCTCAAACAACTAGAATTAGAAGTTCCATTTGCTGGGTATCTTCCCAAAAGAATGAAAAGAATCATACCACAGTGATATAGCCTCACCCATGGTTACAGCGGCACAGTTTGTAATAGCTAAAACTTGGAAACAGCCCAAATGCCCATCACCTGGAAACTGGATAAAGAAGTATGATTTTTATATAATATGGAGTACTACTCAGCCATAAAGAATAAGAAACTAGAGACATTTATAGCTAAGTAAATGCCCATTGAGGGCATACTCGTAAGCGAAATAAATAGGACACGTGTAAATATTGAATAGTTTCTCTAGTGTGAAAACTAAGAGAGTAAATAAGGGTCAAAATGTAGAATTGATATTGTGAAATAAGAAAAGGTCTAAAGGAGTAGGGGAAGTGGGAGGGGTAGGGGAAAGAAAAGGAAAAAAATGGAAATAAAGTCTTTGTAAATAGGGAAGGGAGGGCAGGGGAATGGGGAAAAAATAAGAACCAAGATACATCATGTCAAGGTACAAGATCCCAATGATGAATGTAACTGTATTGTATACCTAAAATGTACCAATAAACTTAATGGGGAAAAAAAGGAAAAACATCAGATATTATCAGTATTTAGGGTTATTTTAACTTACAAAGCATGATATTGGACACTGCCCATTGTATGATCCATTTATTCACAGAATAAATTCTATGTGTGTATTTTGATATGTTTTGAGTGTAGATTAAAGGAAACACCCTAGCCTGTTAATGTAGATAATCCAAGTACACAGCTAGATGTGATGGTGAATATCCTTTACTTTTCTTTGCTTGTTAATATCCTTCTTGATTTTTCATCATAAGCATTCATTATTTTTAGCCAAT